TGTCGAAAATGCTGATTTTGATTTTCCATCTTTGATAGGGCACCAAACAAAAACTATTGCAAAGAATCAAACAAAACTTTTAACATACAAGCATTACTATGTCAGCTGTCAAAATTTTAATGTTTATGCGGCTTAAGTGTAAAGTTGGCTGTGAAACAATACAATTAGGTTCTCTGTTGAAGAAAAACGAAATGACTTTCCGAACAACCTGATATTTACTTTCACGATTGGTTGCATATCTTAAGGGGTATGTGACTTGTATATTTAAGAATTGACCATATAGGCGTTATTTGATTACTCAATGCCATAGGAGATTTGTATGTTTGTATATCCAGAGTTAAATTTTACGCACTTCACGCAAATCCTGCATATTATGATAGCTTATGTAGGTAGGTATATATAGGTACCCATTAAAATGACAAGGTTTATCCTTAAACATGACAAAGTAGATCAATATGCAAGAAGTTTAGGCAAACATATGCTGAGGGAATGTGCAATGTGTTTTATTTACATAATACTTTAAATTATACACGAACGTATATATCGTCAAGCGCAAAATATTGGATGATTGAATAAAAAAGGCCGGAATTATTAAACATAATTGCGCTTTTAAACTGGGCAATGTGCGCCCTACATTTCACGGTTTTATATTTGGCATACACATTTATGTCCTTTGTCCCAACGTAAACAAAAACGTTTGTTGGTAATTGACATCTACTTTGGAAGTAATATTCTACAGCTGTCATACCTTTTTATTTAAAAAAATGTTCATTCGCAATGTGCATACCTATACTTATAATATAATTACCGTCAGCAGAGAAGAATTACAACTGATCAAGTAAATAATTTAACCGCGATTATAAACTAATGTAGGCAAATTACCCTACATTTAAACGCATAGGTACCTATGTGCGCTGTCACACTATGCGTTTTTTCCGCTCCTGTTAAAACCCTGATTAAATCGGATTCGGTTTGACAGGACTACCTCTACCTCTACCTGTCACACTGTTCCGGTCTAACGGGATGCATCACACTTATTTTTGCTATTTACAGTTTAAACTGAGGCGCAATTGTTAAGTATGGTTTCCGCGCTTGAAGCAGAGGAGTTACTGCGAAAGCAGATAGATCGTCAATATTAGATTTCTACCTTAACCCAAGCTTTCTCCCTACAGTTTTATCTACATACTCTCTAATTGTTTACCACAATTCAGTTTGTTGGGTCCGTTAACTTGGCCCCCCCACTGAGAGATTTCATAGTAGTATTATTTTGAAATGAATGCGCTCGTTATGCGCTCATATGCGCCACCGATAATAACTCTTGCGCCATTATCGTTTTTTAGAAATCCGAAAAAACATTTGGGGGGGCCAAGTAAACGTAGCCCCCCCCCCAGTACGTATTTTGTCCCTTATAACTAGGTCACCTGATACATTTGGTTATGCGCTCAATTGCGCCACTTGAATTAAAGCTAGCGCCATTACGGTTAAGCCGTGACAAATTTTCAAAGAGTGGGGGGGCCAACTTAACGTTTTTAAAAAGTTACTTTTTTTTAACATCTTTTCATACGAAATTGTACTCTCAGGTATGCGCTGAAATGCGCCGTAAAAAGATATCTTTGCGCCATTATTGTTTTTTGGCTATCCTTAAATATATTTGGGGGGTCCAAGTGAACGGAATCCCCCATAACGCATTTTGCTACCGGTATTTGTGCCACTTGATACATCTGGTTATGAGCTCAATTGCGCCACTTGAATTAAAGCTGGCGCCATTACGATTAAGCCATAAAAAATTTTTAAAAAGTGGGGGGGGGCTAACTTAACGTTTTCAAAAGTTACGTTTTTTAACATGTTTTTTCTACTACATCGTACCTTTCATCATGCGCTAAAATGCGCCGTAAACAAAAAACTTGGCGCCATTATAGTGTTTCAGAAACACTATACAGGGTGTTTTTTTGGGAGCTTTAGTTAAACGATTCTGAGAAAGTAAAATAGGTAGGTTTTTAAAAATTTGTATTTAGGAGTTACTCCGAAGGCCGAATCGATGTAAAATATTTTCAAAATGGACGCACTTCCGGAAATAACTTTTGAAAACGCTAAGTTAGACCCTCCACTTTTAAAAATTTTTTTATGGCTTAACCTAATGGCGCTAGCTTTAATTCAAGTGGCGCAATTGAGCTCATAACCAGATGTATCAAGTGGCACAAATACCGGTAGCAAAATGCGTTATGGGGGATTCCGTTCACTTGGCCCCCCCCAAATATATTTAAGGATAACCAAAAAACAATAATGGCGCAATGATATCTTTTTACGGCGCATTTCAGCGCATACCTGAGAGTACAATTTCGTATGAAAAGATGTTAAAAAAAAGTAACTTTTAAAAACGTTAAGTTGGCCCCCCCACTTTTTGAAAATTTGTCACGGCTTAACCGTAATGGCGCTAGCTTTAATTCAAGTGGCGCAATTGAGCGCATAACCAAATGTATCAGGTGACCTAGTTACAAGGGACAAAATACGTACTGGGGGGGGCTACGTTCACTTGGCCCCCCCCAAATGTTTTTTCGGATTTCTAAAAAACGATAATGGCGCAAGAGTTATTATCGGTGGCGCATATGAGCGCATAACGAGCGCATTCATTTCAAAATAATACGACTATGAAATCTCTCAGTGGGGGGGGGGGGCCAAGTTGACGGACCCCAAGACGCGGCGTTTTTAAGAAAATTTGTACAAACGTCGGAAACCTCGAGGGAATGCAAATAAGCGAAGAAGAAAGAAATGTATGAGGCCTTTTCCGCCCACGCCTACCTCGTTTTCGTGTTTCTCCCCATAGAACCCACGTCGGGGGGCAAACGGTAAGAGTTAAAAGTGCGGCGCTGCGGCTGAGGGCTGCCGTAAGAGGCGAAAAAACTCCGGCTTGGCGCTCGGTGACGGGAAGGAACGGTGAGGTCCCCGGGGCGCGCGACGCGTAGCGGAGCGCGTGGGAAATTTTCGAGAGAAAGTGCGCTTTTTTGGGGGTAAAACGGATTTTCCCCTGGGAAAAATAGGAAATGGCATTACGTAAAGGCTGAGGTGGCGAAGCTCCCCCCCCTCCGTAGCGAGGTAACGAGGGGCCGTATCGAGCTGCGGTTTTTTGAGTTGGCTTCGTAGTTCGAGGGTGCTCCCGAGGTGACGAGTCTTGGTTCGATCGCGAAGAGGCGGAGATGTGGGGGAAGACGAGAAGGCGCGAGTGAGGTTTTTTAGGCAATTTTTCGCGAATCACTCGAAAACTTGAAGAAATTGCTTAAACTTTTATCAAGTCGAGAGCATCGGCCGACACGCTGTCTGTAATAGTGTTTCAGAAAATATTACCTACATTGGGGGAGGGGAAGGGGGTCAACAAGAAAGCGGGCGAACGGAGGAAGTAACTAATTGCGGCTTTGAGAGTTGGCTTCGCAGTTAGGCTGCATGTCACAAGCTTTGAGATGCACCGCCCTGCCCCCCCCCCTCAATTTTCTCGTAAATCGCACTTCCCTCATATTTTGGCGTTTACTCGAAGACGACGATGCTGTGTCTTACGTTGAATTTTTATATCGATTGGTCGCGTTTTAGAATTGACGGCGATATTTAACATCCCCCCCCCCACGTCCACTGCGTAGAGGCAAAGTGTTGACGCCTTAACGGGAGAACGCGAGGACGCACCTCCTCTCACCTCCCACATTTGTTATAAATGACAATTTTGGCGTTTATTCGGACACTACGGGGAATTGCATCATTCCATTTATTACGTTGGATTCCAATATCGCTCGGTCGAGTTGTACAATCGAGGTCGATTTGTGTAAATGCGCGAGGCGAGGGGGCGCAGCCGCCGAAGCCCGAAATATGTTTCTTTGTGTGTTTTAATGTGCGAGGCGAAGCCGAGCAATGTGCCAGCGATCTTGTACCATCGTAAGACTGAGTGTCCGTCTAAATTCTGGTTACATGCCCCCCCCCCCTCCTTCACGCGTATGGGTAAAGTTAACACGCCGTTGCGAGAGGATCGGTGGACGTATCGAGTCGCGGTTTTGTGCGTTGACCTCGCAGTTCGATTGCGCTTCCTAGGCGCCAGGTTGCACCCCCGACCACCCCCCACATTGCTTATAACTGTCAGTTTTGGCGTTTGTTCGGAAACGACGGGGGCTGGAATCATGTCGTTTTTACGTTGGATTCCAATATGTGCGAGGCGAAGTCGAGTAATGTGTCAGCGGTCCTACATAAGTGGCGATTGGGCGTTATCTACATACGGGTTACATTATACACATAACTCCGCACCCTACCAATAGCCTATGTGCATGCGCAAAACGCAACTTTTTTGTGTATAGAGCAATTTGGTAGAAATTTTAATAGTATGTCCCCCTAATAAAAGTAAACAAATCGTACTGCGCGTACGCATAGCGCAACTTTCTTATATATGGAGCAATTGAATCAAAATTTCTATGATACGTTCCTTTAATAAAAGCACACCAAATGCGTAACCAATCGTACCTACTGCGCATGCGCAAAACTCAACTTTCTAATTTATGTCAAAGAATGGGTGTACAATTAAATCAGAAGCGTATCTCATCTATAGCACGTAACGAAAGCAGATAGCACACAGTATCCAAAACCGAATAGGTTTATATTACACCGAAGAAATGAAGAAACAAGCGTAAAAAATACCCCAATTTCCGGCGGAACATGTGTGAAATCAACTCACGCATGCGAAGTCTTAAAATGCTACGCATTTTTACCAACCTATACGCTAAGTGTGACTAAAAAAGATACTGTCTATGTATTGGTGCATTTTTGAGCCGAATCAACATTCTTTTCCTTTGCTTTTGGCATTTTATAAAATTCCAACGTTACTTAAAAACAACCCCAAGTACATTCTCGCAACAATCAAGCAAAAAAACGAAAAATTGACAAACGGAAAACAATAACAAACGGCATTTGCTAACACAACGGCTGTGATCTAGTTGTCTCTATAAAAAAAATACTTAGAGTAAGGTAAGTATATTATGAACGAGTACTGTAGGAGGAAAAGTGACCAGATCTGACTTCGGCCTCACAAAGAAAATGAGTAGCGATATTGGTATATGGTTCCTGGACAGGAATCGGCTTCTCGGCCTATTCAATACTCCCAGGTGATGTTAAAAGCTCGCTGAAAATGACGATGAAAAGCTCTGAAAAGCATATGATTATCCTGAATAACGCTCATAAGGTTCCAGGGTAATTTAACCTGCTTTTTCTTTCCAAAATGCTTGACTTTTGCCAGTGCACAAGAAAGCTCCTAAAGAACCCGGGAAGATTTTGTAATGTAATGTAGAACAGGTTGAAGAAAATACTTAAATGCGGTTTTCCAGAATTTTCTAGCTTACTACAAATTTAACAGAGTAGTATTGTTAATCAACGTGAAGAATTACCAGCGCCAGTAGCTGTTGTTACTTATGGGGGTTGCAAACCAGACATGATACACCATAAATTTAGCGCACCTCATTTTAGAATTACCATTATCTGATCCATTATTGTAAGCGCTTCTCTTGGTATGTACTGAATTTGAAACACAAAATCAGATGTTACGTCTTGATAACTTCATTTAGAGTGGTTCTTTTTATGGTTCCTGAAGCACCAAACTTATATAAGAATTACGATTGAGTATCCACCATGGTTTGATGGCATTTTTCTTACATTGTGGGATTTTGGAAAGTAATTCCAAAGAGCACAAGCCTTGGTCTACATTAACACTACGTTTTAATTAGAGTCTGACCCACAACATTATCGACATTTGCCAGATTTTTATTTTTAATCCAATGATATGACGTAGCAGGTTACTAACTACCGCATCCTGTTTCAGAACGATAATTTGTATTTTGCTCGTCACAATAATAACATGAGTGTGTTCGTTAATTAAAGTATCCGACGCGTTGCGTTCATGTATAATACGTTTGCGTTTTTCCGAAAGGAAACCGGCGATGGTCCAAAAAGGAGGGCGGTTGCGAAAAATGGCGACTGTAACGTTAGCTACACGAGAATCGCGGAGCACCGCAAGAAGTTCGTGCAAGATTTCTTCACGACGTTGGTTGACGTGAAATGGACGTGGATGCTGTTAGTGTTTGCGCTGAGTTTTCTTCTGTCGTGGTTGGGTTTTGGTCTCTTATGGTGGATCATAGCGTTTACTCACGGCGATCTCTACGAGGAGAATCTGCCGAAAAACCAACAAAAGACGGGATGGTCCCCGTGCGTCACGCAAATCAATTCGTTCGCGTCCTGTTTTCTGTTCAGCATCGAAACCCAGCAAACGATAGGTTACGGTTCGCGGACCATCACCGAGGAGTGCCCCCAGGCGATGGTGTTGCTCTACCTTCAGTGCATCGCCGGCGTAGCCATTCAAGCTTTAATGGTCGGGATAATCTTCGCGAAGACGGTCAGACCAAGCGAAAACGCCCACTCCATCATCTTCTCCAACAGCGCCGTGATCTGCCACCGCGACGGCTACCTTTACCTGATGTTCCGCATCGGCAACATGCGCAAAAGTCACATAGTCGGCGCGAAAATGAAAGCCCAACTAATCCGCACGAAGATCACAAACGAAGGCGAAAAGCTCCACCAGTACCAGACGGAACTACCGATAGCAACGGACGACCGGACCGACCACCTCTTCCTAATCTGGCCGCTGCTCATCGCGCACAAGATCGACGAAAACTCGCCGCTACTCGGCCTGACCGCCAGCGAGGTGCGGCAGGACCTGTGCGAAATCGTCGTGATGGTCGAGGGTACCATCGAGAGCACCGGACGTTCGACGCAGTCCCGCACCAGCTACCTCCTCAGCGAGATCCTGTGGGGCCAGCAGTTCGTACCGATCGTCACCTACAACGCCAAAAGGCGAAAGTATCACGTCGACTATTCCAAATTTGACGATACGGTCTCGGCGGACACGCCGTCGACGGCCGGTACAGATTTAATAGATTTTTACTCGTTGCAAGAACGCGGTAAAGAGGTTTGATATTCTTCAGCTAATTACTAATCTTGTGCTTTTAGAAGGAATGGATTAATTACAGAGTCATCGTTACGCATGCGCAGATTAATTATATGGCGGTTAATTTAAAATTGATTTACATTAGGGTTGTTGTGTGTCGCAATCGATTTTCAATTAAATTATTATACAATCATTTAGGGGATTCCGTTACTTCATTACCCTATAAATCGCGGACTGCGTATGCATTAACATTTGTTTACAGGTTTAGATGCTAATGGAAAACGCCATCACCAACCATTACATAATTAAATTGATTTGATCCCAATTTAATTAAGTTTTAGAGATGTGGTATACGGCAATGCATTGGAAATGTTATTGGCTTGTAGTGCAGTGCGACTACAAGTTTAAAATTTCTGTGGAGCTTCAATTTTCTATTAGCAAAATTGCTCTGTATTTGTCTGGTTAATTTGTTTAACCCTGTGACAAGGGCACGCAAGCCCTTAGATTACATCACATCCTTTTACTAATTTGACTGGTCCTGGATCCAAACAGTTTGGTCACCCCGACCATACGAACTGGCATTGACCTGCAGTCTCAAAACCAAACCCATCTTTGATTTTCGATCTTCCATTCTTACTCACCTCTTTTATGTTCCGTTTTAACCGTTCATTCGTTACTTTTCCGATTTCAATCTTTATCGTAGCATTTTTTTTTTTTTTTTAAAGGTGCAGCTCATCAACTACTGGGTTATTAGTGCTACACCCTCCTTTGATCGTTAATCGCAAAACGAGTGTACTACTTCGGAATTACAGTAAGAAGAAATAAGGTAAGAACAAGTTATACATATATTCACGTCTTCGGGTCTGTGAAGACGACTTACTTGAACACACACAAGATAAGACCTCGGATAGAAGGAAAACAGGTAGTAACAAAAGGTAAGAAACAGAGGAAAAAACCTAGGAAAGAAATACATGTACTATTTCAGTTTTGAAAAACCACAAATAAACGACGTTCATCAGAATTCTTTGTCCAATCTAGTAATCCTAGCGAACAGGAGGATAGTTTTCTGGTTATTTGGAGACAGTGCTTCTTCCAGTGTGAGTGGCACCCGTAACGCTCTTCTTACATTCTGGTACCTCGTGCATTCTAACAATAAATGAGAAACGGTGATTTCAGTGTCGCATAGGTCACAGATATCTGGTGCGGCTTTTTGGAACAGGTGGGAGTGAGTGACTCTAGAGTGGCCAATTCGCGCTCTGGTAAGAAAAATCTCCTCTCGTCTTGTTCCGATAGCAGGCCATGGATCGATTTTTGCTTTTACGCGTCGGAGTTTGTTGTTATTTTGTTGATCCCATACTCTTTGGAATCTCTCCCACATGGACCTTCGAACTTTTATTTTGATATCCTCGGCTAGGATCATGTTGTGGGACTCTCCAGAAGTTGTCGCGTCCCTAGCGACAGAGTCAGCGCTTTCATTTCCCTCTATACCTATATGGGAAGGGACCCATATAAATGTGACTTTGCGGTGACTCTTAGATAATTCTTGTTGGATTTCCGAGCTAAGTAGATTTCTTGGGTTAAACTGTTTTATACTCATAATTGCACTAATGGAATCTGTGTGAATGAGACTATCTTTATTGTTATTACCTTCATTAATATGCTTAAGAGCCTGCCATATAGCGAACTGTTCGGCTGTATGAATACTACACATCCTTGGTAGGGAAAAACCGAGGTGAATTTCATTGGCGACAACTGCAGCCCCCACCTTTCCGTCGTCCGTTTTTGATGCATCAGTGTAGATATGACTTCCCAGCTGACGGTCCTGTATTTCCTTCAAGGTATTTTTGAAAATGTTGGGATGTGTTTCATCTTTGTTGGAGGTGTTAGAGAGTTGCAGATTTATTCTTGGTTGTGATAGAGTCCATGGAGGTATCGTCTTATTTATTTTTAGTGTAGATACAGGTAACTGTTCAAGGTTAAAGTCGTTGTATGCTTTTCTCAGCCGTTGGTGGACAACTTGAGGCAGATTTCTTAGTCTGGATGTCAATTGAATAGCTGGGAAGAGATATTTTTTTGTCGGGTGATTATCAGCATTTTTCACGTTCACGCTGTAATTTAAAAGAAGTTGCTAGACAGTGGTGGTTCTCCCGCTTCACATAGGAAGCTTATTATGGGACTTGTTCTGAAGGCGCCTGTTGATAATCGGATTGCATGATTTTGGATCGGGTCCAGGATTTTTAAGACTTTTTCCTTGGCTGATGAATATATAATACTGCCATAGTCGATCTTTGATCTTATAAGTGTCCTATATATTCGCATCATAGTTTCTCTATCCGCTCCCCATTCGAAATTTGAGAGTGTTTTTAGGATTCTCACCTTGGTGGTACAATCATTCTTGAGTAGTTTAATGTGTGGGACCCAACTTAGTCTTTGATCCAGGGTCATACCTAGAAATCTCACTTGGTTCACGCATTCAATTTCTATATTATAAAGTTTAAGAACCGGCGGATGAGAATTTTTTTTGTGACGTCGACTGAACATAATTGTCTTGGTTTTATGGGGTGAAAATTTATACCCTGTATTCTCGGACCAGTTCTCAAGTTTTCCTATTGCACTCTGTAGCAATTGTTTGGCATTGTCTGGGTTTTTTCCGCGGTAATATATGGCGAGATCATCTACATAGAGAGATGTTTTTATTAGGGGTGATATCGAGGTGGTTATTTTATTTATCGAAATCATAAATAATATAACACTGAGAGTGGATCCCTGCGGTACTCCGTTTTCCTGCCTGTATTGAGATGATAAGAAACTGTTGTGTTTGACTCGAAAGGTTCTATTTTTCAGGAAATTTTGTACAAAGTGTAGAATGTTTCCATCAAGTCCAAATTCCTTTAAAAGTCTTAATATGTTAAATTTCCAGGTTGTGTCGTAAACCTTCTCCAAGTCAAAGAACACTGCTGTTACTTGCTCATTGCAGTTAAAGGCTTGTAGAATTTCTGATTCAATGGCAATCAGTTGGTCCACTGTTGATCGTCCTTTTCTAAAATCACTCTGATCTTGATTTATTAGCTCATTACTTTCAAGAAACCACATCAATCGCCTACAAATCATCCTTTCTAAAAATTTACACAAACAGCATGTCAAAGAGATGGGCCTATAGTTTGTTGGGCTTGTTCTGGGCTTGTTGGGTTTCAAAATAGGAATTATATGGGCTTCCTTCCATTTATGAGGGAAAACATTACCCGACCAAATATAATTTAACAACTTGAGTAAGTAATTGAGGGTATCATCAGGTAATTGCTTGATCATTTCGTAGGAGATATTATCTGGGCCAGGTGCTTTATTTTTGGATTCACCTAGAGCAGAATCGAACTCCCATTTGGAGAAAGGGATATTAATGGGGTGTGGAAAATTCTTTTTAATATCCATACCGGTCGCTTCAATTTTCGCTCTGTTGTCAATGAATTCTTGCGTGTATTGTAGATTACTAGAGTTTTGCTGGAAGTTTTCTGCCAAAATATTCACTATGTCTTGTGGATCAGTTATCATATTATTGTCGTGCTCCAATGCAGTGATTTTATTGTGGGAGTATTTGCCCTGAATTCTTTTAATTTTTTTCCACATATCAGTTGTGCTCGTATCCGTATTAATTTCAGATACATACTGCTGCCAGGATTTTCTTTTGCTGCTTTTTATTGTTCTTTGTGCAATTGCTTTGCATTGTTTATAATTTATGAAGTTGTCTTGATTGGGATTGTTTTTATATCGATTGTAGGCTTTCTTGTGTTCTTTTATTGCAGTTTTACACTGGGGGGTCCACCATGGGACTGTTTGCGCCTTTTTGTTTATCATCCGTTCAGGAACACTTTTACTAACTGCCTTCATTATTAACTCCGTTAAACTTGTCACTATTTGGTCAACATCCGCATCTGCCGCGTCTATGTCCGGGAGCATACTAGATGACGTCAAGGTTCTGTATTTTATCCAATCGGCCCCTTTGAAGTTGCGTAAGGGAACTAGGTCTAGTGGATCTACAGTTGCCTGTTTATGATAGATTTTTATAAAAATAGGAAGATGATCTGAGGTGTTGGGGTCTTGCAGGACCTCCCATTCAAGAGATATCGCTGTTCGCGGATCGCTTAGTGATAAGTTGATATTTGAGAAATTTCCGGTGGAGTAGTTAATGTGTGTCGGTTCCATAGTATTTAAAAGAGAAATGGAATTCAATTCAATGATTCTCTCAATGATACCGCCTCTGGCTTCGGTATGTTGCGATCCCCACAGAGTGTTGTGTGCGTTGAAATCCCCAATTATTATGAAAGGAGTTCTTAGTTGGTTCAACAAGCCTTCTATTTCTGCATAGTCAAAGTTTCTATTAGGGGGAATATAGACATTGCAAATTGTGATGGAGTTTTTATTGAGTATCTTTACCGCAACTGCTTCAAGATTGGTGTTCAAAAAAATTTCCTCCGCTACATTTTCTTGTTTTACAAAGATAGCTACCCCTCCGCTGGCTCTCCCGTCATTATTCCGATCTTTGCGAAATGACGTATAGTTGCTTATTTTGATATAGTTGTTTGCTTTTAAATGTGTTTCTTGCAGGGCAAGAATCCAGGGTTGATGTTGACATATAAGGTTTTGTAGGGCTGGTAATCGTGTATATATTCCATTGCAATTCCATTGCAATATAAATTTTTCCATAGCCATTAAGTATGTATTTTTGAGTGTTTTGATATATAGATATAGTTCAAAAGGAAAGAGAAGGACAGATACGATAAAATAGGTGTTAAGTTGTTTAGTTAGTTTCTTGAGACAGATCAGTGTCATTTTCGGAGGATTCCTCGTAGTATTCCTCATTTTCGTTTATACTCAATTGCTTGCGGATTTTCTTTTTTAATTTTGTGATTTTAGTTTTCATATTTCTGTTTGTAAGGTGAGGGTAAATTAAGTTGAGAGTGTCTAGAAGCTGGTTTATGTCATCGGTGTATTTCAGAGCAGTGTTCAGCGGGTCAGGACATCCTGTAACGTTTTGCATAAAGTCCACAAGTTGCTCGTATGAGATTGTAGGAGTCGAGGATGCTTGTTCTAGTATTTGCTTGACAGGTGATAATATCTCGGTGATGGGTAGGGAGGGTAAGCTCTCGGTCGATGAACTTTTCCTAATTTTCTTAGATAGCTGCTTTTTTGACTTCA